TGGGTGGTGGAGGGACCCTTAAGGAGTTAGGTTTTTGAGAGTTTTCCTTTCTAGAGCAAGTTTTTATATTTTGGGGCTGTGGGGGACGAAATAGGGCTAAAAAAAATGACTTCCCAAGTTGGCCACCGCGTCCCAGTTGGCGCGACCGTGGTAAATAGCTGGGACACTGCCTCACCACCGCGGTCGCGGTAAAACGCGGCAGGAACGTGGTGGTTGTGCACCATTCTGTAAAATGGGCATAACTTTTTGCACAGTGCTCCGTTTGGGCTCCACAATATATTGTTGGAAAGCTATTTCAAAGGCCTAAAACTTTCATGCTTTGAGTTTTCCTAAATTTCTTACTCATTTTTACTAAACCCTGCTGGAAGACAGACCTTCTGCAAACTTAGTCGATTTTGTCGAATCTTATGCACCTCACTTCCCATCTTGATTTTGAAATAACTATTTTCACCCATAATCATCCCTATAGGACTTCATATGTCCAAAATATAACCTTACTACTCCTTTAACTCATTCATACCTAATCCAAATGTGCGGGGTGTTACAGATTTGACGTCAAGCTCAAAACTTCTTGTAGGTTCCAATTGCTTCCCCGTTTTATCTTTTAGATACTAATGCTTCCAATAATATCTAAAAGAATATATAGCAAATTTTATTGGGGTGAAGTTATAATCTCAAATCATATAATTTTTGTATCTGTTGGATTTTCATTCTAAGTTTTGCTTCTCCATGGTTGAACATTTGGTGCATAAAATGAAAGATGAAGAAGGTTTCTTCTACCCTCACAACCTTGATTATCAAGATCGTGCATACTCCATGCATCCAATTAAACTATCTTGGTTCTAAAAACTGTCATGGTGTCCTAGAGTTTGCATAGGGCAGTCTGAAGATACATTTAAATTGGAAATATATTTGTTGGTCATGTGGACAAATCTTTAGTTGAGGGTGAAATAGTTTCTATTGAATAATTTAACTGTTTCTACTGGAAAAATCGCTCGAAGGAAGGACTGGTGGTTTAATGATTAGAAGGGAGCATGTTATCTTATGTGGAAGTGAGTGACATGTGGTTTCTATTAAATTAGTGTTTCAGCATGATTGGCAATATTTTATTCGGAGCTTTATGTACAACGTTCCTCACCAATTGATAGGTCATGTATTCCAAATTATTTGGTGTTGAATCCATAACAACTCGCAGATTTTCCTTTGTTCGTTCCTCTGACTAATGGAAAAGTTCAAACAAAAGGATTCGTCTTTTTGGTGTTCTTCTCAAAGTCACTGAACACAGGTAAATGAAAGTTGTCAATTCATGTAATTTATATAACAGAGGTTGGGCTAGAGACTGGTGTACTCAAGTTGCATCTAGAATATCTTTTCATTTATGGCTTTGAGACAAAGTGCTGAGTAAGTATTTTATTCTTTGTGACTGATTTTCTCTGTGATATTTTGAGTATGTGGGAAGAATTTGCCTCATATACTTTTGTTGTATTGAATTGTTAACATTCTCATTACAATAAATCTCATTTTCATATCGTCCCATTCACCTGCTTAACTTGATTGAGTTAACAACAAACATTCCCCACCTCTCTGTTTGGTTTCAGTCATGTGAAGATCGTTGAAAGATGTTGTCTTGGCCCAAAGCTATGCCATTTATGAAAAAGCAGCCTTCTCTTCTTGCATATTCCTCACTATTTAAATTCAAAATTCTGTTCTTTGTTGGTCTTTACCTTTTATTTTGGTGAGCACTAACAATTAATCATTACGTACAGGCGTTCTTTGTGAAGAGCTGTTAAGAAGAAAGCTAAGAAGAAGACTAAAAACAACACAGAAAAAGCATCACCGTTTGCCAGTAAATAAATAGTATAAAAAGTAAATAATTCTCTCATATATGACGTAGATAATGTGACCCTTATGCATCTAACAGTATGATGTTGTCACATAGTTAAAGAATGTATTATTTGTCAACCAAATGACATCCATGAGTGGATGTTCCGTTTCAAAATGCATTTTCATAAAACACTATCTTTTAGTGGTAATTAGCTATTTATAGATAACCATTTGCTATATTGCGGATTGTAGATACGTTTTCTGTTGTTATAAGATGTATTAGAGATGTATTTAAGCTACTGTATTCATGAATACAATAGCAAAAATAGGCGTGAATCAGGGAAGTCCACCTAATCAGTTGTTGTATTCGAGTGTATTCGACTGTATTCATGGCGTGAAACATGGGAATACAGCTGGACAGATTATTGTATTCGACTATATTCACGGCGTGAAACAGGGGATTACACTGTTTTTAAACGAAAAGTGTATCAATTAACATAATAGACTCCTAATATAACTCAACAAACTCAATTATAACACACAAAATTTGTATTTGCGGTTATAAAAAAGATTCTCAACCGAAAAATACCCCAAAAATATAGTAATCTTCAGAGAAAGTATATAATACATCTGAATAAATAAATTATATTAATTAAAAAAATATATGAATACATTCATGGCATATAGCGAGACAGTGAATATAATGAAATACATAGAATATAGCAGGATACATTGAAATACAATGGAAAAAAAGACAGTGAATACAATTAAATACAACGAGATACATTGAATTACAATGAAAAAAAAGACAATGAATACAATGAAATAGATGAAAATACAACGTGATACGTTGAAAATACATTGCAATATATTAACAGAAAATCAAGTTGCTCAGCCCCAAACTCCATCGTCTTTGTTCAAGAACAAACACTAATTTTCGGCGATCCGCCGTCGAGCAATAGTGGCAGAATAAGGACTCTATTAAAGCTTGAATCTTGTATTGAAGATGACGGAAGTTGAGAACCTCGAGTTTATCGCTTTCCCAATTGGTTTGGATAAGTTGAAGTTCCTACCATTGGGATAATCGTACCACAAATCAACAACCTGAAGATTTCTTTTGGTGTTATTCATAAAGAGAATCGAGTGGAATTGTTTTGGCCATGGTGTAGGAATTGGGTCGCTGGATTTTGAAGCATTGATTAAAGTGAAGCAAAGAGAAGATGCCGTTAGGAGGAGGAGGAGGAGAGGAGAAATTTTAATGGGATGGGGGAAGAGAATGGCATGTATCAAAGTAGAGAGAGAAAGAAAATAGTGTAACTGAATAGCGTATTTAGTGCTTAGGGGTAGGAGGTAACCAAAATTAGATATTTTGCTATAAACATTAAAAGGTATCTATAGAATATAATTTTTTAAATGGTATTTATTTAAAATAAACAAGGTGTTAACCTTTGATATAGGAGGTAAAAATTCATAAATAATTCCTTACAATTAGCATGCGATGTTATCTAGGTGATTCAATACTAATATATTCAAGTTTCACAATATTGGGCCCGTGCTAGCACGGACGAACCACCTAGTGTACTAATATATATTGTTCACTAGAGGCTGGGGTAAAGCTATGTGTAGTCAAAAATAATTAACTGAACATTCTTTGACGAAAACTTATACTATATGAAGGAAAATATTTTTCTAGGAAATGTTTTCATGGAAAAGGAGTGGTTTTATCACTTATTTTTCCTTGTTTGTTGGTGGGTGAAAAACAGTTTTCGGAAAATATTTTCTATTGTTTGGTTAAAGAGTAGAAATTTTTTTTATGCTACTCTCCTCATCTCCTCCCACTCCCCTTCCCCCAACCCCAAGTCTCTAAAAAAAGAAATACTCTTTTTTTGGTTGAAAAAGAAAGTACTCTTTCTACAACATGAAAATAAAGTACTCAATTTATTGAAATAAAAAAAATACTTTTTCTACATCATGAAAAGAAAACACTAGTTTTATTGAAATAAAAAAAATATTTTTTTACATCAGGTAAAGAAAATATTTTTTGTTAAAAGGAAGAAAAAATATTTTTTCTACATGAAAAGAAAATATTTTATTATTAAATAAAAACAATACTTTTTTATACCATGAAAAGAATTATACTTATTTGTCAATATGAAAAACAAAAATCTATCTAGAACATAAAAAGAAAGTACTATTAATAATATTTTTATTTAAGGTGAGGGTAGGGTGGGGTAGGTGGGGTGGGGCGGGATTGGGATGGTTGTGTGTTCGGGTGGTGGATGTGAGGGTGGGTTGCTGGGAGTTGGTGTAGGTGGGGAATAGGGTGGTGAAGTTGAGAAGGAGTTTTGGAAAATGTTTTCCCTTCTCTTGATAGGAAAAACATTTTTCTTCAATGGAGTAAAATGAGTTCATGAGGAAAATATTTTCCAAAATATTTAGGCCAACCAAACATGAAAAAATTAAAAAATATTTTTTGAAAAATATTTTACTTCGTACCAAACACACCCACACGATAAATTCTTACTTGTTATCAATTTAAAAAAGTAAAAATTGAATACCTTTGGATGATGCACTGGTAAATTCTTATTGGATTTTCTGCTTCCGACTTTAAAATACGTTATTAAAGTAATCTAACATTTGTTTGATTTAGTTAATAAGAAATTTAGATAGGATGTTAACAAATAATGAAGAAGTTAGAGTTATTAGATGTACCACGTGTACACAAATATTAAATGAAGTTGAAACCAAACTGTTAATACTAAAGAAGAAAGAAAAGGATTCCGCGTCTTCCATGTCGGCGTCTGGAGATAAAACCGGCTGCTCTCTTACCGTTACGGAAAATTTTATTTTGTGGACCCATATTTTATGAATTTAGAAGTGTAAGATAGGGATCCACAAATTTGTGAGACAAAAAGAAGCCTCACACAATTAATATAAGTTGTGTAAGACACAAAATAAAACTTTATCCTCAGCATTATTATGAACTAAACTAAAGTACCCCCCACATCTTTTTGTTTTCTCATTTCACACCATTTTTTTCTTCACTTCACACTTGGTCTCAATCAAATAAAAAACAGCAACCGCCTTAGCTTTGTTGTCTTCTTCACTACTCCACGTGGAAGTAGTGAAGTACATTAGTACTCCATACTAAAGAAGAGTATATATGGGAGCTGAGGTTTCTTTCATAAGCTGACCGACTCTTTATTTATTACTTCAAAAGAAAAGTTCTTTTTATTTACCTTTTTATAATTTTCAACTCCCAACTTGTGTGTGTTGTCCATGAATGTATATATAACGGTCTGTTTAAGAAACTTGCTTTGGTACTAGTTTGTTCTTGTCACAAGTATATATATTGTAAACTTTTGAGTTCTCTTTTTGATTATTGCATGTGTATGGCGAATTCAAGAGACAAAATATCTAACAGGAGAAGACATGAAGATAGGGATAGAGATGATAATTATAATGTGTTGGAATCGATGTTTTCGGGTAATATTAACAGGGAACGGGAGATATCAGTTATGGTTTCTGCACTAACCAATATTGTTGTTGCTGGTGAAGATCATAGAGTAATTAATAACCAAGTCTTATCGGCTGATGAAAGTGGAGCAGCTGAGAATAATTTTGGTTCAGCTTTCTCTTCAGTTTCTTGGGGTGTTGGAGAAAAAAGAGGACGTAACGAAGAGCAAAGTGGCCATCATTTCTTACATTTTCCAACTTCTGATATTAGATCATCAGGTATTTTTCCTTTCTCTTCTTTTGTATACTAAGAGTTTGGATTTTCTTTTATTTTATGTTTGTGTTCAAGCCTTGAAACAATCTCTCGTGTGTACATAAGACCTAGTGTGGTTTGATCCTTCTCCAAATTCCTCTGCATAACAGGAGCTTAGTGCACTAGACTGAAAATTCCTTTTTTTCCGGAAAAGGATCATAAATGTCCTTCACCTATTTGAAATGGCTCAAAAATGCCCCTCAAGACCAAAAATGCCACTAATGTTTTCTTTAGTATAAAAAGTGCCCCTTGAACTAATAGACAACAACAACAGTTGACCGTATGGGGCTTTGGCAAATCCACGTGGCACTCTTTGATTGGACAATATTAAACAACTTTAGCTTTTGTCATTAAAGTGACTACTGTCAAGATCTGTATTTTAACCCCAAAAATTGTAGCTTTTCAGTTGCTATAATACTAGTTAACTTTAACATAGCAACTTTAGAAACGTTAAAATATACGTAGTAGAATTTTAGCCGAATAAATGGAACCAATTTTTAGGTAAAGAAAGCATACAACCATGTCAATTTTACTTACACCAGAAGAAGCAGTTTTTTTTACACAGCAAAAAATAAAATTATGATAATAAACTTGAAGAAAAGAAAAGAAAAATTTAAGGAACTGAAAGAGAAAAGAAAGAGTTGAAGCACCCTATTAGAATATGTGTGTCGGGTGTAATTATTTTTTTTAATGTTGACCAATCAAAAAGTGCCACGTGGATTTGCAAAAAGTCCCACAGAGTCAACTGTTGTTGTCTGTTAGTTCAAGGGGCACTTTTGATACTAAAGAAAACGTTAATGACATTTTTGGGCCAAAAGGTGGATGAAGGTATTTTTGAGCCATTTCTAATAGGTTAAGGACATTTATTGACCCTTTTTCGTTCTTTTTTTAATGTTGTGTTCTTAGTTCAATTAAGTACTAAATAAAAGCATGTTTTTTCTTAACTTTTAGTTAAGAAAGATTACACACTGACATAATATTAGAGCGGTCAAAAGTTCTCAAATTAAAGCTTAGACATTTAGATGAGATGACACACAAATTTATAGTATATGCTAATTAACAGCTAAATGTAGAATATGAGAGCATAAATGAATTAAGAAATTGCTTGATCTTTTCTCTATATGTGACGTATTCTGCAGATGTTATTTAGTTTTATTTTGGTAGATGCCTTTGTTTTTTGTTTTGATTCTTGTCATTATCTTCATCAAAAATTGCATTTCAAACTGACAATATATAGTATCAAGTATGTGACTATTTGAAGGATTGCATGTAGATGTTCGTAACACGCAGCGGAAGACAATAACAATTTTAGGCAGGTCTTTTTGTGCTTAAAATTTATTTACATGTCAAAGATCGGATCTGAGACGTACCTAGTGAAAAGAGCCTCGTTTCAGAATTTTCTTCGATAGTGCGAAGACTCTAGGCGTATCCACACCGAGACCGATCCTTACTATCAATTCTTTGATCAATGAAACCCGCGAACAAATTGAACGAAAATATTTTGTTGAATTTTTCTCAAAAAACTTCAACTTAAAATAGAAAGAACAAGAAACTAAGTTTTCTTGTCAAGAATATTTCTTGGTTTTGCGGCTTCTTAAAATAACTCGCTTAGCCACATTAATTGGGTGGAGTATATATATACAGTCACCAATCCTTTTCCTTTAGGTTAAAGGAAAAGACCAATGCCTTTTCTCACGTGGAAATCAATTCAGTAGTTGACCTTTTCCATAATTCTTATAATTGGGAAATCAAATCTAATTCCTAATGGGAATTGCGTGATCGTCAAGTTCCTTTTGTGGACTTTATACGTGAGTCCAATTCTAAATTGGATTCACTAAATAGTCTCCCTTAGATGGTGTTTGGATTGTCTTATAAAATGTAGTTTTTAAGCTAAAAGTCAAAAGCCATAAGTTGATATACCAACTTTTTGGCTTTTGACTTATTTTTGTACTTTTTATGTCCTAAAGTAAGTGCGTTTAAGTACTTTTTATCTATTGCCTAAATACCACACAACTAAAAAAACGTAGCTTAAAAACGTTAATAACCTACTTAAAACTAAACCCTAATCCCAAAACACCCCTCTTAAAACGCTTTACTATACTTTACTTTATANCACTTAAAATAAACCCATCCAAACACCCTCTTAAGCTTTATATATTTCTTATATATATATATATATATATATATATGGCGATTGAAAAACATAAAAAAAGAAAGAAAAAAAGAAAGGGAATATAATAGTATTTTATTTGGGCTAATAATTTAAATTATTTGACTAATTAAATTCTACAATTTTAATTACCAAACAATAAAATAATAAATCCTTTAGCAAAGAGAAGAACACTCGTTAGTGTGTGGTCCCGTAGGTTCAGTACTAAACCGGTAGTAAATTGATCATATAAATATACTAATCAAGGGCGGCATCTAGCAACACTCCTTAACGGCCAGATAGAATGAAAAAGTATACAATTTACTCTCAAGAACCAGTAGAAGAATAATGTAATAATTCCTTCTGTCCTTATAGCTCTAAGTCACCCTAGGATATGGTTTAACTGTCAAATCCTAATAGGCGACCAACTATGTGTTCATGTCAAATATAATCGACCATTGAATGACATAAGAAACTCTTTTCTTCTTTCATTCAATTGCCCTAGCCAAGGTCTTAATTTGGTCGCTTATAATTCATGACAACATGGAGCTTAAACTCATTACCAAGAGTTGACAGATTTCATCTTGATCAATCATTAATTCTACAAGTATTTAATCGTACCCGATATCCTTTCAATTATCGCGCTAGGGCCATAGGTGTCTGGTATCAAAGCACAATAAATAACTTGTCAATTACTGTGACGATCTCAGGTCAAATGAAACTCTTACATCACATTCTTCAAGAGAATATCCTATTGACATTTTATGGTAATTCTAACCATTAGGAATTATCCAATGAGTCGGTTCAATGATTATACCTCTATTTGCATCATCTATCTATGTAATTTAGTTAATGAGATCAACTAATCTTTATCACATAAAGACAATCTCATAAATATTGATCTAACCGGATTACTAATCTCCAAATTGATAATCATACGATCAAGAACAAATATAGATTAAATTATAAGAAACTTTTCTCTCATTATCATGATCTCCATCATGATGACAAGTCTCAAAATTTAATCAAGGACCTTATCAAATTAACCAAGCAGTTAATAATAATGATAAAAGAATATCAAATGCCATATATATTCTAAGTGAAATAACGTTCACAAAAATATGTTCAAATCATCAAATATGAGACTGGATCTAGGGCATATCTACCATATCCCTAACACTATCCACTATATTGATTTTTAGTACAGTATTAATGAAAGGTACTACAATATTGTTAGGTGGACATGTACAGGTGGTACACATGTTTTCTTGCATATCTTTTGCACACTATTTTGGCCAAATCTGTGTCCTTAATTCAACATATAATAATGGCTGGTACAAATCTTAAAACTGAGTCTCTTTCATAATTTGGCATATGGATATTGTTATTTGTTTTAGTTATCATTTAGATGGCATGATAGTATATAAAAATATTTAACTATCAGTATATTCCGGAAATAAGAATCGAGTTTGTCTGTGTAAGGAATTTTACATCATCATGTCACCTTTAGCTGCTACAATAGGTAACATGTTTTATTTTCAAGATTATAAATTTCTCATTTTAAAGAGACTTTCATGTAGATATCATTTGAGTGATCTGATAGTGTAAAAAAATGTCAACAGATAGTATATATAACTTAAAATCTTATGGTATATAGGTGGTGAAGGTACACGCATTAGGACAATTACCAGCAGCACACCAACAGCAGAAGCAACATTTATATGCACTTCAACAAATGATCATCAAAATAGCAGCAATGATCAATCTAATGGAGGAGATAATAGTAGTCAATCAAGAAGAAGATACAGAGGAGTTAGACAAAGGCCATGGGGGAAATGGGCAGCTGAAATAAGAGATCCATATAAAGCAACAAGAGTTTGGCTTGGAACTTTTGATACAGCTGATGCAGCTGCTAGAACTTATGATGAAGCTGCTCTTAAATTCAGAGGTAGCAAAGCCAAACTCAATTTCCCAGAAAAAGTTAAACTCTTGCCATCTCCAGTATTGTCTGATTCTCCAAATACACTTTATTCCGTTTCTTCATCGCCCGATCCAATAGTTCATACTTCTCTGTATCGTCCCAATTTTATTGGATATCCCCTAAGGGACGATGAGCCAATAGTTCACACTTCTCAGTATCGTTCCAATTTTATTGAACGCCCCCTAAAGGATCACACTACTCATCATCAAGCTTTGAATAATAATACTGATTTAAATGCTCAAGTTTTCATGAATGATGATGAGTTTCATAGGCTGCATGTGCCTTAATTTCCAAATATGTTTTTATCTCCTATTCAGCCACAGGTTCATATTCAGCCGGCCAGATGCTAGTTAGAGCGAACCCGTAGCTGAAGCTCTAGCTCCGTCCCTGCGTCCGAGTAGTGGGAGCGGTTTTAAAGCTTCAAATTCGGCTAATTATGGTCACCCTTCTTCTTCTTCTGGATAATATTATTGTACTTGAATATTTCATCTTCTTAGAAGATTTGACTAGCTAGCTAGCTAGTACATTAATTATTTCCATCACATGATGTGATTTTTTTGAATGTATTAGTGAACAAAAATTGGCCAACGTTGTCAAAACTCACAGGAGTACGTGGATCAAGGTCTTCTTTTCCTTTTTGTTAGTTTTGGTGATACATTGTTCTTGTTAGAAGTATATTAATGTACGTAATAATCTTCAAAACAAAATCCATATATCCTTTTGGTTTATGATGCCAAATATAGTAATTGTGATACTATATGCATGCATATAATATGATCATGAAGAATTATATTTATTGTCAAAAAATTATTCTGGTAAGTACGAACTTTCACTAAATAAACATATAGGTATCATATACGCTCATCCCGAAAGCTTGTCAGCTTAGAATCTAATCCCTCTTGACATGTCCTCCGCCATAGACATCTTATACACCAATCCCTAGGCGCTCAATTTTTCCTCTAAAGTCATAATTGTATTATATCAGTCTAACTCTGATAAAGATAAGTCCGGTGCACTAAGCTCTTGCTATATGCAGGGTCTAACGAAGGGCCGGATCGCAGGTCTATTGTATGCAATATTATCCTGCATTTCTGCAAGAGGCTTCAATCTGACACTGATATTTTATTCAATTTGTCATTGTCCAAGCTTAGGACACATTTTTGCTCCAACCAATTTCATGGATTGATTTGTTGTTGGATTAATTTGTTCTTTTGTTACCCAACGTTGAGCCTAAACATCACGTACTATGTGAATTATTTGGGGAGAGCCAGATTTACAGCTGGTCGTTCAAAAATAGCCCAATTTCAAAAATCGAAATTTAGCCACTTTTTATGTAAAGATAAATCTGAGCGAAAACGTTGTTCAAAATCCGGAAAATACTCCAGTATATTATGCTGGAGTTCCAGCATAAGTATACTTGAACTCCAGCATATTATACTGGAGTTCCAGGATAGTATGCTGGAACTCCAGCATAATATGATGGAGTTCCAGCATAAATACACTAAACTCCAGCATAATATACTGGAGTTCCAGCAAGTATATTGGTCCAGTATAATATACTGAAGTTTGGAGCACCAGTGCTCCAGTCTCCAGTATATTATACTGGAGCCAGCAAAGTATACCGGTCCAGCATAATATGCTGGAGTTCATACACAAGTGCACCGAACTCCAGTATATTATGCTGGACCGGTCTCTATTGCAGCAAAACGGTGGCTATTTTTTATTGACTTGGTAAACGCTGGCTATTTTTGACTGACCAGTCCGAAAACTGGTTATACCGTGCTATTTTTACAATTATTTGAGCTCTATCTCATACGTCATTAGATTTTTTTTCCGGCCCTTTTTAACTGAAATTGGCTTTGCGATCCTTTTTTTCCGAAACTTGCCAACCTATAAGCATAATAGTCATTCTCTAGAAAAATGGTATAATATCTAAAAGTACATAATATCAAATTTGAGTTTGTACATATGATAAATTTTATCTGGAGCATGTATTATAATTCAACTGCCTTTTGATAACATTCTGTGAGCCTTAAAGTTTGTGAAAGTCTCAGATTTGAATATCCTAACAAGGTTTGAGTAATTCTTAACCAGATTTAAGATTTAGAAGTATTTGTCATACGAATGTGCCAATGTGGTACCAGATCCAATAAAGATGTCATTTTATTCATTGACTGATTGTACGACTCATTATTTCCAGCTAGAAGCACGTGCCCAAGTCAACTAAATGTCCATCTATATATTATTAAAAGGAGAGGAAAAAGTCCTCTCTTTAAGCCAAGTGGACAGAGATTTTATATATTGTTATGGTCTTTTCATTGAACTCTTAGAGTCGCTCCATAGTCATTATTTTAGTGTCGTGAGTATTCTTTTGATATTATAGTCTTATGTTGAGTACCGTTCTCATTTATCAAAGTTGGAGATAAATTAGTATTTCTAGTGGTTAGTTGGTGGTTTAGTTATGGTGGAGACTTGTATTGGTTAATTGACAAGTTGTCAATTGTTTGGTATGATATTAGGATGTTTGGTTGTTGATTTGAGACAGGAAAATTTTTGGGATGGTCCAAAAACAGGGGAAACTCTATCCGATTTTCTGTAAAATTACCGATGAGGCTTACTTGGGAGCACTTGTTCCTAAGCGCCGGTCACAATCCTAAATTGGATCGTGACAAAGTTGGTAGACAAAAGTCTTATGCTGATAAGAGAAGAAGAGATTTAGTGTTCACAATTGGAGACAAAGTGTTCTTACGAGTCTCTCCCATGAAAGGTGTGATGCGATTTGGGAAAAGAGGCAAGCTGAGCCCCAGGTTTATAGGACCGTATAAGATACTAGACCGAGTGGGAGCTGTGGCTTATCGTTTGGCACTTTCTCCTGAGTTGTCCTTTATTCATCCAGTTTTTCATATCTCAATGTTAAGGAAATGTATATCAGGCTCATCTCAGATAATTGAAGCCCCTACTATACCGCTTGATGAAAAGTTGTCTTACGAGGAGGAACTAATGGCAATTGTTGATAGACAAGTAAGAAAGCTACGGTCAAAAGAAATTATGTTCGTTAAAGTTTTGTGGAGAAATCATACAATTGAAGAAGCTCCTTCGGAAGTAGAAAAAGATATGCAAGCGAAGTATCCCCATTTGTTTCAGTCTACAGGTACGTACTTGAGCTAAATTCGGAGACCAAATTTCATAAGGTGGGGAGTAGGGGTGTACATAGGTCGGGTTGGTTCGGATTTTACAATTACCAAACCAAACCAATTATGTCGGGTTATTAAATCTAAAGACCAAACCAAACCAATAAAACTCGGGTTTTTCACTCTCGATTTTTCTCGGATTTTCTCGGGTTCTCGGGTTTTTCGGGTTTTTTTTTCCGGTAAGATCTTACGTAGAACAAAACATATAAATTATGCTCAAAATATTTCTTTAATCCTAATAAGATACAACTATATAAAGTATTTTCCAAGAAAATAATACGAATTATGAGATGTGTCATGGCATTATCCTAAAATATTCTACTATAAAGACAATAAAATTATGTAATATGAATATTGATAATTAAAAGATCATAATAAAAATAAGCATAATCTAAAAAATACTAAGTCATGCTAGAATAAGTAGACTAATAAGGGAGTATTAATTACATGACTAAACGCTAAAGAAAAAAAATAGGTTAGCATTTTTATCTAAATTATTGCAAAACAAAAAATAGATATTCAATACATTCACGTTCATTGTATTGAATTGAATGTCTTTTGCTAGCATTAGTATTATTTTGATTTTGGTTTGGGCTTTTGTTAGCATTATTTAATTTACTAATATTAATGGCTATAAAACTTATTGGAACATTCAAAAGTTCTAAGTCCAACCTTGAAATAATACCTTAAAAGATAAAATTATGAAAAAAATTAAGAAATATTTATAAATTACATCACAATAAGTATATTTATATATTAAATATATCTAAAAATTTTATATATGTAATGTCGGGTTGGTTTGGTTTCGGTTTGACTTTCTTTAGTTAAAACCAAACCAAACCAATTATGGTCGGATTTTTTTTTCCAACACCAAACCAAATCAAACCAAACCATAGTCGGGTTCTTTTTCTCGGTTTGACTCGGATTATCGGGTTGGTGCGGTTTGTCGGTTTCCTTTGTACACCCCTAGTGGGGAGGATGTAATACCCTATATTTTTATTAAGGATGTATTGGTCATTAGCAAAATAATAATAATAATAATAATAATAATAATAGTAATAATAATAATAATAATAACAAACAAGATGACAATTGAATTTTATTAAAGCAATACGATCTAATAGGATCAAACAAGCCCGATCATAACTTAATTTAATTAATATTTTTTTAATATTGACCGCGCATCGTGCGGGTACAAATTTATATCTATATCTATATATTATTAAAAGGAGAGAAAAAAGCCCTCTCCTTAAGCCAAGTGGCAGCCTAAAAAAAGCCACATAGCATAATTAGTTACTAATTAGTTATTTAATTAATAATTAGTTATTGATTATTATTTTTGAATTTAAATATATATAAAAAACAAAAATAATAAAAAATTAAAAAAAACTACCATATATATATATATATTGGTTACTTTATTTGAATTAATAAATATAGATATCTTATAATTAACTATAATAAAAAAAATATAAATATACAAAAAAATGAAGAGCCATTCAAATTGGGTGGGAGTAGTTTCAATTTGGAGTTTTTAAATTATTTTAAAATAAAAAAGCAAAAAAAAATGTTTAGCTATAAAAAAATGAAAAAAAGAGAAGAAAAACTACCCATTCAAACCAGGGAGTAGTTTCAAGTTGGATTTTTAAAATAATTTTAAAATAAAAAACGAAATTAAAAAAATAATAAATTACCAATTCAAATTATGGAGTAGTTTCAAGTTGGAATATTAAAATTATTCTAAAATAAAAAAACGAAAATAAAGAAATAAAAAACTTTCAGAGAAAAAATATTAAATAAAGTAATATGCTAATAAAACTTTCTATTAAAAATGTAATAATATTAAATATTGGATGATATAATAAAGAAAAATACATAACAAAAAAGTTATTTGATGCGCTGTCTGTTTAAGTTCCGTTAGTTTAATAGAGATTTTTATTCATTAAAATTTAGATAATATTATTAAGAACAACAGAAATTTAAAATAAAAAAAAATACTTCAACAGTAATAAATTATATATCTTCTCATATATCTATCTATATTATTATAAAAGCATGAATACAATGTCGGTTTACAAAAATAACCTTATAGCATTAAGCATAATAACTCATTATAAAAGGACATAACCGGAATTCTAGATATTAGCCTTATAATCCTATTAGTTTTAGGACATAATACTACACGCTAGGAATCCTACATGATTACCTTTAGGAATTCTATTAATATAATTATTTTTCGGCTTTCTAATTCATATAAAATTGAACAAGTAAATATTTCCAGTCATGTAATCGTATTACTTTTAGGATATACTTCATAAATATATCTATTATTAATTTAATTTAAAAATATATTATAATGTCCTATAACTAATTTAATTTGAGAATGTATTATATTTTTCAAATTCATTTAGAAAAAGGAGAGCCTATCTATATCTATATTATTATAAAAGCA